TGGATATGTTAGATTTGTAGTAGGATAAAAACCACACCACCCTTTTAAAACCACACAAGTTTGAGAAACGCTGCTCTAGTGGATCCTGCACTGAACAGGCTTGGACTAGATGACTTTTATGATCCTTTCCAACCCTATTCTAACTTGATCATTTCCTTCCAGTATTTTTGTGTTTATTATTGGGTTCCTCCACAACCTAGATCCCTTCCCAGTACCAGCACTTGGTGTTGTACCATTTTCTGGACTTTCTCTTTTCCCTTCTTTTTTCAGTATGGAAATACTGGATTCAGGTTTGCAAAGTACCTTCCAAGCATATTCTTTTCAGGTCTTGTGAGGTACAGCCCATCTCTTGCCAGTAGTCCCTCATTTGAGAAACATCCTATTATCAAAGAATCCAAACTGTTCTCATTGACCACATCTGCATAGCCAGTTGTTCATTCACTTTCAGTATTCCCTCTCTTCCTGGGCCATGTGTTCACACAAGAAGGAGCAAAGAAACATTCACCTGTGCCCCTAGCTCTTCACCCTCCTGCTTACTGCTTCTTAGTCCCCTGTAGTATTTTTGTGGTGTGCTCTTGGCTGTACTATTTGTTTCTTCGTGTCTCAATAGAAAGGGATATTTCCCAATGGGTTTTAAGAACTTGGGACACTTTCTGTCTCCTCCTGAATTAGTGCCCCAGGAAGAAAGCACCCCTTTGTTAACCGACTGTGGCTGTTCCAATACCCTTCACTTCAGGCAGAAAAACTCCCTTTGCAGAGCCCAGAGAGACCTTTTACTCAGTTTCTTTGTGGTGGCAGCTCTGTGTCCAGGGTCTGGAAACAACATCAGTGTGGAGACTTTGAAGTCTGCTCTGATGCTTCAGGAAATGAGAGGACTTCTTGACAGGCTGAGTTTTCTTATATTACATTCCTCCATCTCCACTACTTTCACCTTGGCTACCTGTCTCCTGGGAAGTTTATTGATGCCATATTCCCTCTTCAAGGGCTTCCGCATCTGATCCAAGAGTTCATCATTTTCCCTGATAAGATGGAAAACAGACAGCTTTACCTCAGGATCCTTTATCTTCTCTTCCATGAGAGCATTCACCCTTATAACATATATAAATTCTGTCCTTGGAAGGAAAGCAAACATTCTCTGCAAGTCACAAAAGAAGTTCCTTCTGTCTTCATGTTTTTCAGATTAACCGCAAAAAAAGTGTCTGTCTTGCCAAGGTCCTGTTTGTTCACTCAGTAAACTTGCTCACTGGCAAGCTGGCTTTCTTATGTGCCTCCTGAACCTACCTTGAAACTAGCAGCAAGCAGCACCTTGTCATACAATGAGCAGTGAGCATCACTTAGGGAACAGTTAGCAGCCCTTCCACCTCCCTGGCTCTTCTGCTGTCTCCCCTCTCCTTGGCCTCTTTCTTATCAGTTGAATTCCCTGTCAAGCCCCTTTTGCTCTCTTTCTTCATTTGCTCAGTGTGATCAAATGTAACGATTTGTAACAATTCTAAATCTGTTTAATCAAGATTAGAAGGAATCTTACAGATGTAAATGTGTTTTTGTACAAGCAAACTAATAGTAAAATATTCCACTATCATAACTGTAGAGTCCTTGGGGTTCTCTGAGCTTGGTTGTTTTCTTGCAGGCATTTCATTACCTGATTAGGTAACATCTTCAGTGCTAGTGAGTGTGGGGTTTGCTCCCTGTTTATATACAGTTGTGTGAAAAAGAAAGTACGCCCACTTTGAGTTCTATGGTTTTACGTATCAGGACATAATAAAAATCATCTGGTCCTTAGC